TTTAGGAGGCAAACTAGTGACCTTAAGCCACGAGGCATTGTTAGATACGTTGCTGCATTGATTGCAAAGTGATAGATGTCCTTGTTTATTAAAGTTACTTACATATGAGCCTGTTCACCGTTGTCTTCCCAGTTTTGGTTAAATCAGTTTCCTAGCATCTCGGGATTCCTTTGCTTAAATTCTGAAGACTCTTAAAAGACTCTTAGAAGCTGCGTGCGATTTATTTGCCTTGTCACATAACTGGCACCAATTGTCCGCCATTTTGCAATTGGGCCACTAATCTGTATTCTGCAGAATACAGAGCGGAACATGCCTTATTTATTTCTTTTTAATTTTCTTGTCTTTCAGGACAGAATAATCAATTTTGCAGTTGGGATCGTAGTTTCCTTGTTGCTTATAGTAAGTATTCCGCTTAGCCCTGCAAGCCTAATTCCGGAAATTTGGGAGGTCCTTGGCTTTTTAGGAGGTTTGAATCGGTACCAGAATGTTTCAGATCAGGTTTATCTTCTAGCAGCCAGTAAGGATCTATTAATTCAATGTGTTTTTTCCAGGGAGTAGCAAAACATTCATTTCATCCATTCTAATACCTTTCATAAGGGTGTGGACATTTTGGGATTTTTTTTCTTCTTCAAAACCTTCCGTTTATTTTCTGCAAACACCGATACTTCCATTTTCTTGGCTGCTGTTTATAAATATTTGATTTATGTATTGCAGTTAAGCACACAGATCAGACCACTTTAATAGAGTGAGTGGCGGGTGCGGGCACTCTGAATTGGTAATCTCTGCCTTTAGACTGCCAAAGCAGCAAAATTTGGCTGCAGCATGCTCAGTTGTTAGAGCAAGTTAACTTTCCGTTGGAAAATTAAAACATGATTGGAGAAGGATTAGAATTGGTTGTTGGCTTGTTGCCAACAATAAGAACATGGGTATAATGTGGATAATGTCCTATCAGAATTACTTGCTAAGAAGTTATGAATCCAGGAGATTCAGAACAAAATCTCCAGATCTGTGGACTTTTTCCAGCCCTCCTTTAAAGATTTCTTAATTTGCAATGCTTTGTTACCAGTCTCAATATTAAAACTTTTTGAGGTTTCATCTTTGTATGAATGAGTTGGTTCTCCCTTCTGATTTACTGACAGGTTCTTCTCGCTTTTTCATGAGTTGTTCTTTTTCCTCCCTAAACATCTGAACATATTAGATTTTTCTCACTGCAAATTGTTTTCTAGCCCTTGCTAATTTTAGTTTTCTCTTGTGTTTTACAAAGCTCCAGAAGTAAGCATCGTTAAAATGCAGATAATTAACAATGCCCTCTGGGTGTGGGTGAAGTGCCTTGTGTAACAGCTGAACTTTTAGCACTGTTTATTATAAGCACTGAAAGGTTATTATACCTTCAGAGAGTTGGGCAGGTGATTAAGAGAACTTTTAGATCACGGATTTCAAAACAAATGCAGTTTAAAGCCCCTGCGGACTGCTCAAATTAATATTCTCTAATTTGGAATTTTTCCCCCTTAGCCTCAACAGGTATAGTAGCACCTGGCTGACCTGACCTGAGTTTGGAAACCAAGCAGGATCAGGCCTAATATTTGCACGGGAGACTTCTGGAAGTGTAGGCTGGACCGAAACGTAAAATCAGAAACATATGTTGTCCTCTTAGGGAAAAAAGAAAAGTCAAGAAAACGATAGGGATCCTGTCCGTGAAATCTTCAGGCAGTCAAACACCACAAACTATGATCTTCAACATACCTGAAGTGTGTAGTGCTGTATTGTGCTCATTCAGCGAGAAGATGGCTAACAGGACAATCGTGCTGTTGACATCTTGAATCTCCAAAGGAACCGAAGGATGCTCAGAAGATCTCAGTAGAGTTTAAAAGTGGAGAATTGATGGGTCCATCAACTTTCCCTTAGCTAGCAGTTGTGTTAGTATCACAAAGAGTCCTTGACTTACAACCATTGGTTTAGCAGCCATTCGAAGTTACACAACGGCACTGAAAACAGTGACTTATGACTGATCCTCACACTTACTACCTTTGCAGCCTCCCCACAATCAAAATTTGGGCGCCTAGCAACCAGCATGTATTTACGATGACTGCCGATTTGTGACCTTCTTGTGGGAGGGGGGCTTCCATCAAGCAAAAGCAAGGGGGGGGTTCACTTAAGGACCACACAGTTCACTTAAGAGCTGCAGTGATTTGCGTAACAACCACGGCAAAAAGGGTCAGAATTGGCTCCCTTTACTATCGCCTTACTTAGCAACAGAAATTTTCGTCCCAGCTGTGGCCGTAGTGCCAGCCAAGGTCCAGCTGTAAGGAAAGCTAGGAGGGAGGGAGGGAACTTACAAACGGTGGGACCACTCAGGTGGATCCAACGGAAATCTACGGTTGCCCTGGGCGAAAATGGACCCTGAAAAACAACATTTTAGACATCTTTCGACAATGGTGGTTTCTTTTCACTCACCTTCCCTCACCCGAGTGTCAGGTAGCTGGCCAACACGTCTGAACTCGCATCACCGATTCCCCGAAGCTAGGCAGAAACATTAAATTCCAGGGTGTTGCGTCAAACCGTAATGGTAAAGAATAGCTGTGCTAGCTTGATCAAACTGTATTCTGACTAATTTAAAGTTTTATCTTGGATTTGAAACCCTTAAGGATAATCACATTCCACAAAAGTTTGTTTTCTATGAAGATAATGCCTGAATTTACTTTCTCTTTTTCCTTTCTTTCTTTCTTTCTTTCTTTCTTTTTCCATTATTTCTTTCCTTCCTTCCTTTTCTTTCTCTTCTTTTTTCTTTCTTTTTCATCTCTTTCTCTCTCTGCAGGTCACTTTAATCAGTGCTTTCGTCTTTCCTCACCTACCTCCAAAACCAGTGAATATATTTTTTGCTTTCTGCATCTCCCTGAGTTGTGTTTCAGCTGGCATTCTTGTAAGTAGTGTGTTTACTTTTGTGAAGATTAAGCAGAACTTACTCAGATTAGGGGAACAATAGTGCATGCTGCCGTGGACAGCTGTAAAAATATTGCAAGGCCCCAAAGTAAACAGGGACTGAAGTCCACAAAGGATGTCTTAATTATTTGCACTAGCTAGCAAGCATGGGCCCCAAGCCAGGTTTTTTTTAGACTACCTTGTAATGGCAGCTTTGTCTAGTTGTAGGATTCCCACTTTTGGAAAAATGAAAGAGCCCCAAACTTTCTTCCTGCAAACCCTTCTAAAAGTTTCATGAATTACCCACAGGGTGAAATAATGAAATACAGGGATATTTTCAACTGAACGTTTAATGAGATTTTGATTTTGTCTTGGCCAGACTCACTTTGAGGAATGTGGCCATTATCCCATAGCGTGTACCTCTGATCAACATCATCACCCAAGGAAATGACACACGTCAGAGCAGATGCCTACAAGGATTGTGATTATGAAAATACGGCCTACCCTTTTGGGGTCTTTGATATCACACTCCTACACATCCCATTAGAAGCAAATCCTCCACTGAGTTCAGTTCCCATCACCAACTAGCTCAGGTGCCCCATAGTCTTGGTCAATCTTCTTGGAGAACATCAACCCTAGAAATATCTCGGGAGATGATCAAGGGTTCTTCTAATGCGACAATGGCGTCCGTCTCCTCTTACGTTTTGTTCCCCCTTCTCTTCTGCCTCCAGATCTATTGGTATCGACAAGGAGACCTTGAGCCTAAATTTAGGAACCTGATCTACTACATTTTGTTCTCAATCATTATGCTTTGTATATGTGCCAACCTCTACTTCCATGAAGTGGGGAAATGAACTCTCCTAGGACAAAAGTTGCAACGCATCCAGATGGTCTGAGGCAGCGTTTCCAGATGTGCTTTCTGAAGAGAGGGCAAGGCTGCTTCCAAAACGCCAAGACGTCACCGGAACAGATGTTGGAAGGAAGACCTCGAGGGTCCACAGAGGTGTATTTTAATGGTTCTTCTTTCTGGTGAGGTGAAGTAGTGCAATATGATAGAGCATCTGCTTTAGGGGCGGGTGGGGGTGAGCCACAGAGTCGCTACTAGTGCACTTAAAGAACATTCCAGTTGTACGCTTGTGTTTTTCAGAGTGGCGCACCTTTTTTTCCCCATTGTGAAAAAAAAACCACGGCCTTTTTTTTATTACACTGTACAAAACTACTGCAGCACTGCAAATGTCTATACTACATTATAAATAAAAAGGCATCTACCATTACAGAAGAGAAACAGTTTCTCACTTGTATTAAACTGGGCACTGGTTAATTTACGTTCCTTCCCAAAGCCACCGGCCGTCGCGTCAACTACAAATTCATTGTATACGAACAAAGCCACTTCACTTTGGAGGAAGCTGATAATTACAGAAGTCAATACTGATTTTGAATCGTTTTTGTTTTTACACCGCCTTCGTAATAAGAGCGCCAGGTTGCCTGCCCAGGTTACACCGAATTTCAGCTTCGTGTTTCGGTGTGCGGACTCAAAAGTCATCCATTGCTCAGCTCATTCAGATGAACATCTCTGAAAAGTCTCATCCGAGCTGGGTTCCTTGGCCAAGGTGGCTTTTAGCTTCTGTTATTGATTTTTGAATGAACACGAGAAGGTCTTCTCGGGGTTTAAACCGACTCCTAAATTTACTGCAGCTTGCAAGTCTTCATGCTACACTCAGGGTTCTAATTGTAGTATTTAAGAATTGCGTCTGATCGTTCTGGCGCGACATCCCTCGCCAGCAACAGCTTCTTTAGTTTCAAGGAAGACCTTGATCCAGCAGTGCTTTTCTGCTGCTTGAATAGACTGGAACCATTAGAAAAAAAATAAAGCTTTTCTAATGTACCTTCTTGCTCTCTCTCTCTCTCTCGGTAGTTACGACACTGTAACTATATTCTATCCTGAAACAGGAGGATAGGTGCAAATTCTAAACGGTTTTACCTCTGTCCACACGCTCATTTACCACTGTTGTCAGTAGCCTAAAGCATTGAATTTCCTCACTGTCCAACACAAGACTTCTTGAACGTAGAAACTGGGAGGGGAGGGGCAGCTGTGACTGTCACCGTGTGAGATCAGAAGAGAGCAAAAGGTTCCTTTGGGTGAGTCCTGCCAGGCTGACGCTCCTTTGACCAATGGAGGAGTTACAGACTGGGAACATCCTCAGTGACAGCTTACTAAGTTCTCCATGCCCTTGGAGTCTTCAGAACTAGGGCTATCCAAAGAAGAGCCGATAATGTGAGAATTCTCTCCGTGGTGTTGTAAGATAGGATCTAGGGAGAACCAAGAATACAGCAGGTTGTTACACAGATACAGCTTTTGTCTCTTGTGCTGGCTAACATGCGAGCTATAACACGTTTTAAGGTTAGCTACCTTAACCTGAAATAGCTAGGATTGGAACCATTGGGAAAATGCTGCTCAGAATAGAAAAAAGTCTTGTTAATTAACCCACCACCATCAGAATACCAGAAAGGCACACTCAAGACTCAGGTCAAAGTTCATGAGACAGGAACAACTCCCAAACAAAAGCCCAAGAAAGTATAAAAACCCACTTCCTACTACATGTGCTCTCTCTTTTTTTCCAGAGCCATCTTTCTGTCTGGCTCTCCTTTTCAATAAACTGTAACCTTCTTTCTAAAGCAGTCGCCATGTTGCTTCTTCCCGGCTTGGACTGGACCCTGATGAAGATTTTTCCTTCAATAGTAGAAAAAGTCTCGTTTGGACTTCAGTGCAAACTTGAAACTCCTTTGCTAGAAGTTCAAAGAATCTTCAAAATGGTCCTTGCAAGGTTCAGATGTTCTCTAGACCCCATTCCTCTTCACCAAAAGTTCAATACAGCTAGTCCTCGACTTACAACAGTTGATTTAGTGACTTTCAAAATTACAAGGGCACTGAAAAAGTGACCTATGCCTGTTTTCCACAATTATGATCACTGCAGCATTCCTGTGGTCACAGGATCAAAATTCAAACACTTGACTCATATTTATGACAGCTTGCAGTGTCCCAGGGGGTCACGTGATCCCCTTTTGCGACCTTCTGCCAAGCAGAGTCAATGGGGAAGTTGGTTTCACTCAACAATCATGTCCCGAACTTAACAACTTCAGTGATTCACAGAACCACTTTGGCATGAAAAGTCGTAAAATGGGGCAAAACAATGAATTTCTCGCTTGGCGACCCCCATTTTGGGCTCATTTGTGGTGGTAAGTTGAGGACTACCTGTACTGAGGCAGAAGGACGCACAAAACTCAGAAGAAACCAAGTCTCGGCTATTTTGCCTGCTTCAGTCAGGAGCACAGCAAGCTTTGAAGCTTTTCAAAATGCTGCTTAATGCTAAACAAGCAAAATAGAGGGGAAGAGAGGATGAGAAAGGTGTATTGGAGATGTTCACCATCTTAACTTACTTGTAAACACGATAAAGGAGAGGATACAAAAATAAAAAAAAGACCCCCCCAAACCGAGTTCAGATTTAGGAGCGTCTGTTACCTGTTAAGGTTGTCAGAGGCAGCACGGATTCGCCGTCTATATCATCGGATGTCTGGATAAAACTTCGTGGAGAAGGCACAATGAGAACGGCTCCATCCATGGCGGACTGTTCCACTCGTTCTTCGGCTGTGGGAGAACCCAGATCCTGCATAACAACCGACAACAACTTTGCTAAGCCATTTCGGCAGAATTTTTAAAAAAGGTTCTTTCAAAAAAAATCCACCACCCCAAATCAAAGTTGAGCGACGCTTCTTGCTATAGGCCAGTGATGGCGAACCTTTTAGAGACCGAGTGCCCAAAAACTGCCTCGCCCCTGTCCTGCCTCTCCTGCCCGCAGGGCCACCCACCACCTCCATGGCCCGCCACAGATCTCCCAGGCGGCCCAGCAGCGTCATGGCCACGCCCTCTGTGCCCTGCAGCATCTGTACGCGATGGGGTGTGAGGGCGGAGTCTTGTCCCCGTTGCCATGTCCTTGGCTGCGCTGCTCCGCGCAAGCTGTGCCCGGGGCGACTCTCCTCTGGGGGGGCTTCTGGTGAGGGGGCCACAGGGTGGCGGGGCTGGGGCGACGGTGTGCATGCCCACAGAGAGGGCTCTGAGTGCGGCCTCTGGCACCCGTGCCATAGGTTCGCCACCACTGCTATAGGCAAATTCCTGCAAATAGAAGTTGTATCCACAACGTTAAGAGACAAAGCATGATGGCTATTAATAACTTAACATAACACCTAACTCCCACAGCACTGTCTTGTGCCTAAAAATATTTACCCATGTAGTAGGGCTGTATTGCTATTAGCCTTCTCATCTTTCTTACTACCTTCTCCTGTGGGAATCTTATGATTTATCACTTGTTTGTATCTTATGATTTATGACTTATGATCTGTGACTTATCACTTAGTTGTACATGCGTACATTGAGAGCTTCTGCAGACAAATTCCTTGTGTGTCCACTCACACTTGGCCAAATAAAGAATTCTATAAAGAATTCTAACTGCTTGGTAGGAACACAGCCAAAGCATCAGCTTTTTTAATGCACGGCGGAGATCAACTAATCAAGGAGCTGAACTAGATAAGAGTGATTTGATTTTCTCACTTTTCTAACATTTAACGTCAGCTTCACATTTCTGCCGGATTTGGAGAACCTTTTTTTTCTGGCTTCATAAACACCAGCTCCGAGCGTTACGAGTGGGTTTTCTTTTTGTAAAGTTTTATTCATTTTTCATACAATTCAGTAGTATTTGTTCAACAAATGTGTTGTCTGAGTTTATCATTCACTAATACAAATTTAACAGAGGGATAGAATCAAGATCACGTGAAGTGTTAATACCACTTTACAATGCCCTGGTAAGGCCACACTTGGAATACTGCATCCAGTTTTGGTCACCACGATGTAAAAAAGATGCTGAGACTCTAGAAAGAGTACAGAGAAGAGCAACAAAGATGATTAGGGGACTGGAGGCTAAAGCATATAAGGAAAGGCTGCTGGAATTGGGTATGTCTAGTTTAACGAAGAGAAGGACGACGGGGGACATGATAGCAGTCTTCCAATATCTCAGGGGCTGCCACAAAGAAGAGGGAGTCAAGCTCTTCTCCAAAGCGCCTGAAGGCAGGACAAGAAGCAACAGATGGAGACTAATCAAGGTGAGAAGCAACTTAGAACTAAGGAGAAACTTCCTGACAGTTAGAACAATTAACCAGTGGAACAACCTGCCTCCAGAAGCGGTGAATGCTCCAACAATGGAAGTTTTTAAGAAGAGACTGGACAGCCATTTGCCTGAAATAGTATAGGGTTTCCTGCCTGAACAGGGGGTTGGATTAGATTACCTCCAAGGTCCCTTCCAACTTTACTATTACTATTACTATTACTATTACTATTACTATTATTACTATTATTATTATTATTATTATTATTATTATTATTATTATCTCATAATCCTTTATTCTTTTCTCCAGCCATTGATAAAATAAGTCCCAAGTTTGAAAATATTCTGTTTCTTCTTTTTCCTCAAAGTAAGTTTGTCCATTTCCGCACATTCTAGTATTTTTTAAATTATTTCTTCCTCTGGTGGTGTTCTCATTTTTCCAGCATTGTGCGAATATGATTCTTGCCGCTGTTATCACATGTAAAATCAGGTATATACTTTGTTTATCAATCTTTTCTGGCATTATACCTAATAAAAAAAAGTTCAGGTTTAAAATCTACATGTCCTCCCAACATCTTTTCTACCCAAGTATGTATTTTTATCCAATATACCTCTTTGCTCTAACACATATCCACCGTACATGATAATAAGTACCTGACTTGTGTTTGCAGTTCCAACATCTATCTGACGTATTTGTAAACATTTTTGCTAACCTTGCTGGTGGCAAGCGCCATCTGTAAAACATTTTATATAGGCTTTCTCTGTAAGAAGTTGACATTGTCAATTCATAATTTCTTTCCCAAACGTTTTGCCATTTTTCTAAATCTATATTGACGAGTGGGTTTTCTTACCTCGGAAACGTACGTGCCGGCCAAATCTGACGGACGACTTTCTTCCGGCTTGAGATCCGAATTCAGAACGTCGACTCCTGCTCTTCCCATGAGCTCCGGGCTGTTTCGGCTGCCAAATTTGGAGGAGTTGACTCCGCTGAAAGCAGAGGGCTCTTCCCCTGGAAGTTTGGTGGGGTGGAGGTCACCTGGAAAAGAGTCTGTTTCCAGGGAGGTTGGCGTGTCCGCCAAATCGCCGGACTGCATGCCCGGATCGACGCTTAGTTCTGCCTGGCTGACGGGCGGAGAAATGTCTTCGGCTGCCACGGTGCGGATGATGACACTTGGCGTGTGACACTGCACGGTGACGTTCTCCGTTGTGTTTAGCAGGTGCTCGGGCTGTGGGAAAGGGAGGTTTGTAATTTTGCAAAAGTGGCAAAGAAACGCCCAGGCTGCCTTTTTTTAATCTTCTTTGGCAAGCTGGATACTGGCTGCTCAGCGCCAGATTTATTTATTTATTTTTTTAAAAAAAGCAAAGGAATATTTGTAGAAGAAAATGGAAACTGGGAATCAGCCACCTCATCTCCCACCTTTGCTCCAAAGGAAGACAATTCCCCCCCCCCATTCACCAAGGAAGAAAGGAGAAAAAGAAATGGAGATCAAATCATCTTCCTTTCCTTGGACTGCCCCCTTCAGCTGAATCTAATCTTGGAGAAACCCCACCGCTCCAGTAAATGCATGTTCTCATACATATGTGTCTACTTACCTGCCAGAAATGACATGCACACAGACATAAAAAGGCAAAGCGCACACACAGTAATAAACAGGCACTGACAGAATTCCTGCTGTTGTTCAGTCCCTAAGTCGTGTCTAACTGCAACACCAATGACCACAGGACGCCCGTCCTCCACTCTCTCCCAGAGTTTGCCCAAATTCATGTTCATTGTGTTGATGACACCATCTAATCCAGGGGTCCCCAACCCCTGGTCCGTGGACCAGTACCGGGCCGCGGCATGCCAGCAACCAGTCTGCACAAACAAGGAAAGGCAAATCCATGGGATGCAGGCAGCACATAAAACCACGCACTCTCCGGTCCATGGAAAAACCTCTCTCTACAGAACCGGTCCCTGGTGCCCAAAAGGTTGGGGACCTCTGATCTAACCATCTCATCTTCTGCTGTCCCCTTCTCCGTTTGCTTCCCATCTTCCCCAACATCAGGCTCTTTCCCAAAGAGTCCTCTCTTCTCCTAAATACTTGTTATGCATCATACTTGTTATGAATACTTGTTACAAATCATATGTTAATGACTAGTTTTTGGTTTGTTGGGGTATTTTGCACGAAATCTTTTGACGAGCCTGTCAGCTTTCACCTCAATGGATTTCACCCAGGTGGCTTCAGACAACGGGTATCCCTTCCATTGTACTAGGTACTGCAATTTCCCTTTAAGGATTCTAGAGTCAAGAATACGTTTCACTTTAATACGTTTAATTATATGATATTATTACTTTTAGTATTAGTATTGTATTGTATTGTTTAGTAATTAGGTTGTTAATTTGTTTATTACAGTGTTTAATTTTAACTTGTTTAAATTTTTGTTAAAAGGGAGTTAAAGCGCTTTATGGACTTGGTTATTTAAATAGTTGGTTAATGTTAGTTAGATTATGATTATTATATTTGTAACCCTCTGTTCAGCTCTGGGAAGTGGGGGAGAGGGAGGGGGGGTTTGGGGTGGGTATGGGAATTCATATTGTAATTTTTATAAAACTTTTAATAATAAAAAAAAAGAATACGTTTCACTTCATAGTGGGTCTGTCCCGCAACTACGAGGAGCCCAGGTGCCTTCTTCGGGGGAGGTCTTAAAGTGGAACCCCCGATAAGGTTTCAACAAGCTGCAATGGAAGACTGGGTGAATTCTCCCTAAAAGTCTAGGGAGTTTTAGTTCTACGGTGACCGGATTGATGATCCTTACTATGAGGGGAAAGGCCCCAAGAATTTTGATCCCAATTTCTTGCTGGGCAATTTGAGGCGTAGATATTTAGTTGACAAATAAACCTTTTCCCCGACTTGGAATGTTCTTTGGGGAGCCCTCTTTTTATCAGCCTGCTTTTTATAGGTTTCAAAAGTCTGCAAATACTGTATATTCTTGCTTTGACAGTTTGGTGGCCAAAGTGTTTTGAGTATTTCGGCTTCAGGGTCTATCCCTCAAAATGAGAGTCAGAATTGATTTCCTTTAGGATTGGCTGATTGGATCTCCTTGCAGTGGAAGGGACCCTCAAGCGTCTTCTCCAACATGACCGAATTAACTAGAGACAAACATTAGTAGCTTACAAAATAAGGCACCTCATTTACAGTGGCATCTACAGAATGGGATAAAGGCAGCCAAGATGATAGGAATGGCCTTGCCATCCAAGCTCTGTCCCTTTATGTGTGTTTGTGTGTGTGAGATGCAGAGGTGTATTGTGATGCCCCCCCACTGCCATCGACCTGTATTTTAGTTGCTTCTGCCACCTGTGATTTCCAAATTCACTGACCTGTGTACCCCAACCACTTCCAAGTCAGACCATTTTTACTACACAATCCTTCCCAAGCAACTTTAATCTTCCACGCTCTGCGGGGACTCATTTGCATGTAATTGTGTACATTTCCTGCCGTTTCCTTTATTTTCAAAAACTTCTCTGAGTCTTCTCAGTGAATGCAAAGTGGCTAACTCTTATTGACAGATAATTATTGGGGACAAAAGGTTTGCCTCCCTACTGGGTAAATACGTTTTTGTGACTTTATAAAGAATGATAATGATGATGCCACTATTTCAGGCAGAAATAGTACATCCTAGTACAGGGGTAGTCAACCTTGGCTCTTTTATGACTCGTGGACTTCAACTCCCAGAATTCCTGAGCCAGCTAAGCCAGCTAAGCTGGCTCAGGAATTCTGGGAATTGAAGTCCACGAGTCATAAAAGAGTCAAGGTTGACTACCCCTGTCCTAGTAGTACAGTTAAATGGCGTTTCTTTCAATGAAACGGTACAGTCCGCAGAATGTCTAAGGTCAGATTTGAACACGCATCCATTCCTCGGATCTAAACAAGGAACGCTGTGGCATTTCACTAATTAAATAGCTAAATACAGGAACACAGTTCTGTTTATTCAGGTTTTGCGTTCATGGATTTAATACCCGAAACCATGGGAAATTCACGGATTTCAAACCCGAAATGCGCTGAAATATATTAAAAAGATGAAGGGGCGATAATGGTGTATAACTTCCACCCATCAAGAATTTCTTAATTCAGAATTATAAGCATTGTGTTTCATTGCGCCGTTTTATATTTACGGATTTGTCACGTCCTTTGAGAACATTACAGAGGAATGTATTCCTCGGTGAGGAATACAGTAGTGGCCAAAATTGTGGAAACCTCTTGGGAAAAGTGTATTTTTGAGGTTTGATGGCTAATAACACCACTTTTTTTGGGAGTAGTACCATAAAATTATATATCAATGGAAAGATAATTTAATCAAGAATGTAATGCAAGAAAGTTTGTTCAATTATCTGTACTGTATTCTATGAAAAGATATAGCCAAATAACCAGAAAAAAGGAAGCACAACTTGCTTAGGTTGATCTCAGGTAGCTTTCCTTCATCTGATTGTAGCCAATGAGCATGAGTGTTTAGAGAGCCAATCAGGTGTCATCTTGTTTTGGCAATGAGCCAATCAGATCACAGTAGGATTCAGTTATTGATGTCCTGTATTGAAGCTGAGATGAGGACATGTGTCAGTGTGTTATGTGATCGCTATCAAGTTGGTTGGGGTTTTTTTTGTGTTCTTTTATTTAGTGAGCTTGTAAAACATAATAAAATTAAAGTAATGGTGCAAAGAGTTGACTGGTCGCCCAGAAAGCGATCTAAAATAGTATTATTAAGTGAACAAGGCTACAGTTATAAAGAAATTAGAAGAAAAATGGGTGGAAACTTAACCAAAGGTGGCATTTCTACTGTACATTTTTCCCAAAAGGTTTCCACAATTTTGGCCACTACTGTATATTGGCTAGCAAATGTTAAGAGCTGGAATGTTGCGCAATGGCCAATGTGACTCTCTGCCAAGGCTGTACTTTGGGCCAATCACCAGGAGACGCGGAGATCTAGTCCTGCCTTAGCCACGAAAGCCAGCTGAGTGACTTTGGGCCAATCACCAGGAGACGGAGAGTTCTAGTCCCGCCTTAGCCATGAAAACCAGTTGGTAAATCTGGGTCAATCACCAGGAGACGGAGAGTTCTAGTCCCGCCTTAGCCATGAAAACCAGTTGGTGAATCTGGGCCAATCATCAGGAGACGGAGAGTTCTAGTCCCGCCTTAGCCATGAAAACCAGTTGGTGAATCTGGGCCAATCATCAGGAGACGGAGAGTTCTAGTCCCGCCTTAGCCATGAAAACCAGTTGGTGAATCTGGGTCAATCACCCAGAGATGGTGAGTTCTAGTCCCGCCTCAGGCATGAAAGCTAGTTGGCTAACTTTGGGCTGGTCATTCTTTCTCAGCCCAATCCAACACACAGGGTCGTTGTGGGGAAAAGAGGAGTAGGAAGGTGTGTTGGATAGGTTGGTTGCCTTGAGCTTTTTGTAAAAATAATAAAAGGCAGGATATAAACAAACAAGCAAGCTGTAAAGCAAAACAGATGCACCCCGGATTTTCTTCGATACACTGCTAGAAATCAGTCACAACTAGCCTAACTCACTAACCACAGCTCTTAAGCCACCCACCCTCATCATCCCCTCTTCCCGGGTCCCTGTGGTCTACCGTTTTGATACCTACCGACAAGGCATGGACTATGATCTGGTCTGGTGAGGCTGGGGCTGCAGCAGCCGTCAGGGTCACAGTGGGGCTGGTGGTTAGGGTCAAAGGCAGGCCCTGGGATGAGCTGGTCTGGAGTAAGTAGGTGCCTGGAGTTCCAGTTGGTTGTAGATGAAAAGACTAAGAACAGAGGTGAGAACCGAAAAAGAAGAAGTCATCTGTTTAATGGCCATCCCAGCAAAGTTCCTCCCAAGTGAGACATCAAAAACAAAATGGCACTTGACAAGTTATAAAAACGTTAACTGAAACAAGGCATGACAAACTAGGTACTTATGCTGCCTACTAGTTGAGGATTCTGGGACTTGTATTCCCAATACATCGGATGACAGAATCAGAATGGGAGATGCTGACGTGGACCCAGGTTCTACTTCTGCACTAGAGCCAGGGGTAGGCAACCTTGGCTCTTTTATGACTCGTGGACTTCAACTCCCAGAATTCCTGAGCCAGCATGGGGAAACTTTGGCCCCTTCATGACTTGTGGACTTCAACTCCCAGAATTCCTGAGCCAGCCATGCTGAGGGGAAAGGGAGAAGTTTCCAAGATGAGCCATGCTGGCTCAGGAATTCTGGGAGTTGAGGTCCACAAGTCATGAAGGGGCCATAGTTCCCCCATACTGGCTCAGGAATTCTGGGAGTTGAAGTCCACAAGTCATGAAGGGGCCATAGTTCCCCCATACTGGCTCAGGAATTCTGGGAGTTTAAGTCCACAAGTCATGAAGGGGCCAAAGTTTTCCCCATGCTGGCTCAGGAATTCTGGGAGTTGAAGTCCACGAGTCATAAAAGAGCCAAGGTTGCTTACCCCTGCACTAGAGCTTTAAACATACCGGTCAATATCTTTTCACTGCAAAAAAGATATAATCAAGCCAACTCCGTAATACTTACTGGCAGAATCTCAAAAGTCTGCAAAGTTCCACTATTTAGTGTAATAGTTTCAGAATCAACAGAAGCAGCAGGGGAATCGGCAGAAGCTACACAAGAAAAAACAAAAACAAAAACGGGACCAAAGATTCAAATCGGCAACTAAGTTCTAAGCACAGTAACTGCAAGAGAACGTAAAACAGAACAGGCACCCAGGTTGTCCCAAGCAGGAATAAGGAAAACAACTTTGTACATTAAGAAGCTACCGCTACGAAAGCTTGGAATAGTTTGAACAGGTCTTTGGGAAGTGTGTGGGAAAATCCACGTGCAGCAAACTGCCGTGATTCCCCCCCCCCCACAAACCTCATAACATTTTGATACCCTTTGTCCCAATGAAGCAGCCAGAAGGTCATCCCCTTTTGACTTAATGCCTCACCTACCTAAACAGATAATATGCTTAAGTTCCTTCCTATCGCTTCCTGTCTTTGTTAGTTCTTTCTCCCTTTGATCTACCTGTATTTGTTCTTTACCTGGTCTTTGATCATGTAATGTGTTACTAGAAAATAGTTGCTTATATGAAGGAATTTTTCCAATGAAGAAACTTTATGTCAGCATCTAATGCAGTGGTTCTCAACCTGTGGGTCAGGACCCCATTTGGGGTCGATCGACCATTTCATGGGGGTCGCCAAGCAAGGCTGTCCGCCATTTTTTTTGTCCGCCATTTTTCCCCCCTTTTCCGGCGGGTGCCTTACCTCCCTTGGACTGGGCCAGCTGGTGGTCGGCCTGCTCCGTCTCTGCCGCTTGCCAGCTACGCCTCGGCTGGCACAGGGGGCGGAACCACGCATGCGCGGCGCTCCCGGGCAGGGAAAGTCCTTGACTTACGACTGGCTGGGTAGTCCTCGACTTACGACCGGTTTAGTCCTCGACTTACAACCGGTTGGGGTCGCGGCATTAAAAAGGTTGAGAACCACTGATCTAATGGCTAAACTTATGAATGTAAAGTATCAGCATTTAATGGTTAAGCTAGTGTATGTAACAAGTACTGTATATAAAATGCAATAAACTCAGAGTTTGTCAAGCTGTGTCCTGCAGCTTCAAACCTCTGCTCAAGACATGCCTGAGTCTTTTTCTTAGCGTCTTACAGGGAAGACTCCCAGCAGAAATTGCTCCATGGGCCGGATTTTGTTAGCTTCCGAAGAAGAATTAAATCGCAGCCCATCCTAAAAGAAGGATCAGCAGTCTGCCTTGGCTAATGGAGCTATCCAAGTTATTTGAGTTCCACCCATGGCTCTTTTCCAATTCTCTCTCTGTGCGCATCTGTGCAATGCTGTTCTCCACTCAATAAATCTTCAGGGTCTCCAGAAATCAATTCACTAACTACAAAGTAAAAGGTCAAAGCCACTGTTAAAATCGACCTCCGCTTGGAATAACTTCGTAACCGCGTTTGTGTAATCTTCTTGGCAATACGGAAGGCAATGGCGTTACGAATATTAGCAATGGTGCCGTGGAGGATAGGACTTTAAAGAAGAAGCAAACATTTGCCAGGATTATGTTTGCAACGGATTCATCTCTTGTTCTTCTCTCAGTCTTGGCAAGCCAGAAAGATTCCTTTCCGAATGGCACAAAGTTTTTTGTTTGGTTAGGATCACCCTTGAGTAGGACGATCAGGGTTCTTACCCAGTCCTGGTTATCCATCAATCTATTCTACAGTAGTGGCCAAAATTGTGGAAACCTTTTGGGGAAAGTGTATTTTTGAGGTTTGAAGGCTAATAACACCACTTTTTTGGGAGTAGTACCATAAAATTATATATCAATGGAAAGATAATTTAATCAAGAATGTAATGCAACAAGGTTTGTTCAATGATCTGTACTGTATTCTATGAAAAGTTATAGGCAAATAACCAGAAAAAGGAAGCACAACTTGCTTCGGTTGATATCGGGTAGCTTTCCTTCATCTGATTGTAGCCAATGAGCGTGAGTGTTTAGAGAGCCAATCAGGTGTCATCTTGTTTTGGCAATGAGCCAATCAGATGACAGTAGGATCCAGTGATTGATGTCCTGTATTGAAGCTGAGAGGAGGACATTTGTCAGTGTGTTGTGTGATCGCTATCAAATTGTTTGGGGTTTTTTTGCGTTCTTTCATTTAGTGAGATTGTAAAAGGTAATAAAATTAAAGTAATGGTGCAAAGAGTTGACTGGTCGCCCAGAAAGCGATGTAAAATAGTATTATTAAGTGAAGAAGGCTACCGTTATAAAGAAATTAGAAGAAAAAATGGTGGAAACTTAACCAAAGGTAGCATTTCTACTGTACACTTTTTCCCAAAAAGTTTCCACAATTTTGGCCACTACTGTAAGGTCTACCCAGCAGATGCCTTCAAAGAACGAAGGAGGAACCACAACTGTGACTGTACCTAGGAAAGATTTTGCAGAGAGACCCAGAGGCTCGGCGAATCTGAAAAGCCACAGCATAAAATATGCAAGGCTATAAGCTTGCACAGACTAAAAGCAACGGGAGACAGAAGTGCTGAGTGATTCACTGCGGCATTTTTCAGAAAGAATGTATGTTTGCACCACTTCGGCTGGAGAGAAAAGGCAGAAAGGAGAATGGAAGTGGGGAATGTCTGCATTCCCAGCATTATATACAGTCGTGGCCGGAATTGTGGAAACCTTTTGGGAAAAGTGTACAGTAGAAATGCCACCTTTGGTTAAGTTTCCACCCATTTTTCTTCTAATTTCTTTACAACTGTAGTCTTGTTCACTTAGTAATACTATTTTACATCGTTTTCTGGGCAGCCAGTCAACTCTTTGCACCATGACTTTAATTTTATTACGTTTGACAAGCTCACTAAATGAAAGAACACAAAAAAAGCCCAACCAACTTGATAGCGATCACATAACACACTGACACATGTCCTTCTCTCAGCTTTAATACATGGCATCTATCACTGAATCCTACTGTGATCTGATTGGCTCATTGCCAAAACAAGATGACACCCGATTGGTTCTCTAAACACTCATGCTCATTGGCTACAATCAGATGAAGGAAAGCTACCTGAGATCAACCTGAGCAAGATGTGTTTCCTCTTTCTGGTTATTTGGCTGTAACTTTTCATAGGATACAGTACAGATAATTGAACAAACTTCATTGCATTACATTCTTGATTAAATTATCTTTCCATGGATACGTAATTTTATGGTACTACTCCCCCCCAAAAGTGGTGTTATTAGCCATCAAACCTCAAAAATATCCTTTTCCCCAAAAGGTTTCCACAATTTTGGCCACCACTGTACATGGGAAGCATAGGAAAGTTTTATTTGTAGATTTATGTACAGGGAGTCCTGGATTTACAACACAATTGAGCCCAAAATTTCCATTGCTAAGGGAGACATTTGTTAAGTGAATTTTGCCCCATTTTACGACCTTCCCTGCCACCGTTGTTAAGTGAGTCCCTGCAGTTGTTGAGTTAGTAACACGGTTGTTGAGTGAATCTGGCTTTCCCATTGACTTTTGCCTGTGGGAAGGTCGCAAAAGGGATCACGTGACCCTGGGACACCCTGCAGCCGTCATAAAAATGAGTCAGCGGCCAAATGTCTGAGTTTTGATCCCGTGACCCTGGGGATGCTGCAACGGTCGTGCAAAAAATGGTCACAAGTCACTTTTTTCCCCCAGTGCCACTGTAACTTTCAACAGTCACTAAATGAACTGTCATAAGTAGAGGACTGTTTGTAGGCCATTTTCTCCATTTTTTTTCCCAGCAGAAAACCAATAAAGTAGATTGGCCTGAAAAATGACCCTTGTCCAGATTATATTCAAATAGATAAAATACGTATTTTGGATATTATAGTTTGTTATGAAGTGAGATAAGGGAAATGTTGGTTACAGTCTGAAAATTATAAATATCAACGGTTAAATTGGAATATTGATAAGAAATTAAAAACTGAGCAAAAATTAATAACAGGATATGGATTGTTTATGAAGATTGAATGTAATTAAGATATATGTATGAGCTAAAAATCTATTGATAAATGTAATAATGATGTTCTTATTGAGTTGATATAATTAGAAATGTACTAACCTGAATATGAGACAGTAAATGTTAAGGCAGTGGTTCTCAACCTTTTTAATGCCGCGACCCCAACTGGTCGTAAGTCGAGGAGTAAACCGGTCGTAAGTCGAGGACTAAACCGGTCGTAAGTCGAGGACTACCCAACCAGTCATAAGTCGAGGACTTTCCCTGCCCGGGAGCGCCGCACATGCGTGGTTCCGCCCCCTGCGCCGGCCGAGGCGTAGCTGGCAAGCGGCAGAGATGGAGCAGGCCGACCACCAGCTGGCCCAGCCCAAGGGAGGTAAGGCACCCGCCGGAAAAGGGGAAAAAATGGCGGACAAAAAAAATGGCGGACAAAAAAAATGGGGGACAGCCTTGCTTGGTGACCCCCATGAAATGGTCGATCGACCCCAAATGGGGTCCCAACCCACAGGTTGAGAACCACTGTGTTAAGGGAAAAAGAGAAGAAATATTTGATGTTGTAACCTGAGATTTGCACTAAGATTTGGTTATTGAACTATTGTGACCCAGTCACCACGTTGCTTTGTAAATATTCAAATGGAAAATTGGAAAATTAATAAGATATTATATATATATATAAAATGATCCTTGTCCGAAGGGAGCCCCCGTGGCTAAAGACCAACCCCTTCGTCCTGACCCCTCCTTGGCTCTCATTCGTTTGCAATGAATGAAAACGTGCAATCCTCGTTCAACGCAACTGCAACCGTGGTTAGCACCATACAAGATAAACCAGTGATATTTGTACTTTATAAATGCTTCTAATTTACCCCTCCTGAACTGAACACCCCAATGAAAGACGAAACGTGCACCTAGTAAAAACGGAGAGTCCGGCGTGAGTTTTGGTGACTTACAGACGTGGGTGATCTGGAGTGGGATCTGTAAGGACGCCACGGAAGCAGGAGAGCAGACCGAGCTTTCTTCTAAACGGGCCACTCGGATCTGGACGTGCTGAACCCCGGAACCAGAATGGGAATTTGGCAGCCCAGGCAAAGATTTCGCCTCTGGAAGTTGGTGTGCCGGAGCGTTTTTCTGGCTTTCGTGCAGTTGCTTCAGACCTTTTATAAGAACTGGAACAAAAAAGTCATTCAAGGCTGCTGGAAACTAAAATCAAAGTAAATGTCTGTAATAAAAATAACGGGTACCAAGAGCAATTACAGTAGTGGCCAAAATTGTGGAAACCTTTTGGGAAAAGTGTATTTTTGAGGTTTGATGGCTAATAACACCACTTTTTTGGGGGGAATAGTACCATAAAATTATATATCAATGGAAAGATAATTTAATTAGAATGTAAAGCAACAAAGTGTGTTCAATTATCTGTACCGTATTCTATGAAAAGTTACAGCCAAATAATCAGAAAAAGGAAGCACAACTTGCTTAGGTTGATCTCAGGTAGCTTTCCTTCATCTGATTGTAGCCAATGAGCGTGAGTGTTTAGAGAGCCAATCAGGTGTCATCTTGCTTTGGCAATGAGCCAATCAGATCACAGTAGGATTCAGTGATTGATGTCATGTATTGAAACTGAGAGGAGGACATTTGTCAGTGTGTTATGTGATCGCTATCAAGTTGGATGGGGTTTTTTTTTTCCTTTCATTTAGTGAGCTTGTAAAAGGTAATAAAATTAAAGTAATGGTGCAAAAAGTTGACTGGTTGCCCAGAAAGCGATGTAAAATAGTATTATTAAGTGAACAAGGCTACAGTTATAAAGAAATTAGAAGAAAAATGGGTGGAAACTTAACCAAAGGTGGCATTTCTACTGTACACTTTTCCCAAAAGGTTTCCACAATTTTGGCCACTACTGTAGTCTGGTCCAGGTGCCGTCTGCCCATCTGGGAAGATTCCTATAAGACAGGCATTGAGCAAGAAAATATTGACTAAACTCCTCACTTGTGGATCTGGCCAACCGGTCTGATAGCAAGCCAAGAATAGAGTTATAAACTTTACCGGGAAATGAAACCTCTTTGTGGTTTGCGATCTGCCTCTTGACAGTCCACCATTTGCTACGAAGCCACTGGGGTGAGCGCACGCTGCTCCAGCCTTCCGCCAGCAAATCCCAATTGATGTCGTTTTCATCAGAGACTTCTAGCTCTGCTATTCTGACAGGGTAACGCAGAAAAAGAAATGATTCCTTTTACAAATATAAGCCTTCACACGGGGCTTTCAAAAAAAAAAAAAGATTGGACAATGCATGAAAATGAACGGCAAGAATTATATTTGCACAATACTGGAAGAACGAAGGAACACCACCAGATGAAGAAATAATTAAAAAAAAAATACTAGACTGCGCGGAAATGGACAGACTTACTTTAAGGTTGAAAGAAAAAGAAGAAACAGAATATTTTCAAACCTGGGGTCTATTTTATCAATGGTTAGAGCAGGGGTCGGCAATCTTAAACACTCAAAGAGCCACTTGGACCCATTTCCCAGAGAAAAGAAAACACTGGGAGCCGCACGCGCACAAGGGGGAGGAGCTTGATTGAAGAGTTCAATTAAAAAGAAATAGAGGCTGCTGTGCATGAGTTCTCTCTCCCTCTCTCTCCCTCTCTTTGTCTCCCTCCTTCTCTCTCTCTCTCGCCTCCCCTCTCTCCCTCTCTCCGATCTTCTGCTCACCTGGCAAGCTGGCTTCACGCTGTCCTCTGACAAGCTGACACACATTCTTATTGGGCTGGCTCTCTCCTGCCCTTGGTCTGCCAGTCCTCTTCCCCCACTCAGTGTGTGTGTGTGTGTGTGTGTGTGTGAGAGAGAGAGAGAGAGAGAGAGAGAGAGAGACAGAGAGCTGCTGCTTCCTGCTCTCTGCTGCTTCCTGCTGAGACGCAGCAAAAGCAGGAGCCCCGCCCAATAAGCTTGTCAGCTTGTTGGAGGACAGCATGAGGCCACTCTTTTTTACACGCACATGCAGAGAGAGAGAGAGAGAGAGAAGGGAAGCGTCTCTCTCTGTCTCTCTCTCTCTCTGCAAATGGCGGAGGAGGCTGGGAGCCACAGGAGAAGGCTCAAAGAGCCACATGCGGCTCCGAAACTGTGGGTTGCCGACCCGTGGGTTAGAGAAAAGACTTAGGGATTAGTGGTACAAACCTAAGAATGAGGTTGATTTCGTCTTCCTTGGTCCACTCCGTGCCTCCACTCTGCTTCCAGTTGAGGTAGTTGAGCCATTTGGAGCGACACTGCTTCTCCGACCGGGTGCCCACCCGCTCTGCCACCGCAGCCCAAGAGACCCCTTGCGTGACAGTGTCCCCAGGCTCGGTGCTGGTTAATTCGTGGACCACTTCTGCTAGTCTCTTCTCTTCTTTCTCGGTCCATTTCCCTGAATTGGAAACAATAAAAGTGATGATGTTAATAGCATGTTATGCTTATTGGGGGAGGAGGTGATAGCAATGGTGGGGTTCAAATAATTTAACAACCGGTTCTGTTCATTGTCATCACCAGCGTGATGCACCTTGCATATTTGTCATCGCCGGCACGACGCGCGTCACATTGATGTCATCACCGGCGCGATGCACCTCACACTGTCATCGGTGGCACAACACTCATTGCGTTACTGTCAGCACTGGCGCGACGTGCAGCGCATTGACATCATCACTGGTGCGATGCGCCTCACAGATTTAGTGTAAGTGGTTCGCCGAACTGAAGAAAAAATTAGGTACCGGTTCTTCTGAACCAGTGCAAACCGGCTGAATGCCACCACTGGGTGAGAGGACGGGAAAGTAGAGAGGTTCCTATGTCCCCTCATTTCCCCCCAGAAACCTTTCTGGCTTGTGGATCAGGACCTGCTGTTCAATAAAAACAGTGACTGAGACCAAAGTGAGTTAAAAAAACCAGACCAATATGTAAGCCTTTTTTATGGTCCAACTTTCACAGCCATACATTGCAACTGGGAAAACCATGGCCTTGACTATACATACTTTTGTTGGCAGGGTGATGTCTCTGCTTTTTAGTATGCTATCTAGATTTGCCCTAGCATTCCTCCCCAGGAGCGTCTTTTAATTTCTTGGCGGCAGTCCCCATCTGCAGTGATCTTGGAGCCCAGGAAGATAAAATCTGTCACTACCTCCATTTCTTCCCCACTTATTTGCCAGGAATTGAGAGGGCCGGATGCCATGGTCTTGGTTTTCTTAATGTTGAGTTTCAAGCCAACTTTTCCAAATGGCACATTTTTGTATGTTGCGATTTTTAAAACCGTTTTAAGATGTAACGGTAATCTAACTGGTGAAATGCTTTATAGGAAGCAACAGATCCCAGTGTAAGCCTCTTTGTGATCTGTAGCTGTAACACCAGGTTTCACTGATCTACGGTGAGATCAGAAGGATATGCTGAAGAACAGCAGACTGATAAGAGGGGCAAGAAAGGACACAGCTATATGTCAGTACCCTCCCGTGATAAGGCATTCTCAGGCACCCTGTTGAGTGGGGAAGACAGGTGGTAACAGCAACCATGTTCCTATCAGGCAGCAAACAGAATGAATTCTGGATATACCATGGACAGCTCCTTGCAAACCAGCAATGTCTTTGGGGGAGGAAACTGAAGGAAGACAACTAAGTACTTGCCAATACACAATTCAGAAGACATTGGAAACAAATCTTTTGCCGGAACCAGTTGACGGAACCCTACACCCTAATATCCTATATCAGTGGTGGCGAACCTATGGCACGGGTGCCAGAGACGGCACTCGGAGCCCTCTCCATGGGCACACGTGCCGTTGCCCCAGCCTCACCTCCCCCCGTGACCCCCTCCTCTCCAGCAGCCTCCCTGCAGGACAGTCGCCCTCGAGCATGACCCACACGGAGCAGCGCAGCCAAGGACATGGCAGCCAGGCAGCATAGACAAGACTCTGCCCTCACGCCCCATCATGCAATTGATGCTGCAGGGTGCGGGCAGAGGGTGTGACCGCTATAGCGCTGCTGGGCTGCCTGGGCGATCTGCGTCGAGCCCTGGATGTGGTGAGTGGTCCTGTGGGCAGGCGGGGCGGGGGATGGCGGGGCAGGGGGGTGGAGTGGGGGCGGGGCCAGGTTTTGGGCACTCGGTCTCTAAAAGGTTCGCCATCACTGTCCTATATAATAAGCCAGCAACCTAAAACGTATTATTTTATGAAGAATGTGCAAAGCATTCCAAAGAGGCGTTTTGCAAAGTTTCATCTCGATGGAACTCCTCTTTCCAAATGGTTAAAAAAAAGCAGCCGTGCATTTTGGATATTTCACAATTTCTTCGCAAAGGATTCCCCTGGCTTTCCATTACCTGAAAGTTTATGTCAAGTTTGCCCCCCACCCCCCGACAGGGCCATGCAGAGACGCCCGGGGGAAAAGGTTTTGAAGCCACTACACTGTCCTTGCAAAGAAAAACAGCTGCCTTAATTCCTGGAAGAGAGGTGCGTTTTATGCAAACACACCTTGCAAAATGTCTCTTTCCAAAGCTTTGTTAGTTGCTTGGTAAATAAATCCATGAAAAAAACATTCTGCAGCGTGTGACGTTGGGGCTTTATTTTCCTTAAGCCAGGGGTCTGCAACCTTAAGCACTCAAAGAGCCACTTGGACCCGTTTCCCAGAGAAAAGAAAACACTGGGAGCCGCCAAACTTGTGCGCGCATGTGCGCGCGTGCGTGCACGCAAGGGTGAGAAGCTTGATTGAAGTGTTTAATTAAAAAGAAATAGAGGCTGCTGGGCATGAGTTCTCTCTCTCTCTCTCTCTTTCCTCTCCCTCTCTCTTTCCTCTCTCTCTCTTTCCTCTCCCTCTCTCTTTCTCTCTTTCCTCTCTCTCTCTTTCCTCTCCCTCTCTCTCTCTCTTTCTCTCTTCTCTTTCTCCCCCACTCTCTGATCTTCTGCTCAACTGGCAAGCTGACTTCAGGCTCTTCTCCAACAAGGTGACACACATTATTGGTCTGGCTCTCTCCTGCCCTTCCTGCTTCCTGCAGAGATGCAGCAAAGGGAGGAGCCCCGCCCAATAAGCTTCTCAGCTCGTTGGAGAACTGTGTGAGGCCACACTTTTTTACACACACACACACACACACACACAGAGAGAGAGAGAGAGAGAGAGAGAGAGAGAGAGAGAGAGAGAGAAGGGAAGCGCAAGTGCCTATCTCTGTCTCTGTCTCTGCAAATGGCAGAGGAGGCTGGGAGCCGCTGGAGAAGGCTCAAAGAGCCATATGTGGCTCTGGAGCCGCGGGTTGCCGACCTGTGTCTTAAGCCAATGGATGTCTTGCATGCAAAGCCAGCCTACCAGCATAACCAGGTTTTCCTTGGCTGTTCTTTTAAGGCTTCTACCTGTGTTGCAGGTGTCCTTCATCAGCCTGCACCGGTCTTTCACGGAGGAAGCACTCCGCCCGAGAGCGGCTCCTATCGTTGCCCAGTCATTCCCGTGCTTGATTCTTAAACTGAAGGGAAAAAAAGCGCTTAGTTTTGCTCAGGACCAGGCTATGAAATCAATGTCTATGGAGATTCTCAGCCATCCAGGTCATAGTCATCCCAAAGGTGTTTTTTCACGAGGCAACTGGACTGTCTTGTTCGTCTTTGAAGACCTTTTGCTTCTCATCCAAGAAGCTTCTTCAGTTCTGACTGGACGGTGGGGAAGTGTATAAATCCTTCCATTCCCCACCCTCCAGCTTCTTGGGGGAGAAGCGAAACCGCTTCAAGGAAAAAAACAAAGTCCAGTTGCCTTCTGAAAAAGCACTTTTGGCACAACCAGGAGCCGGAGAACTGAGAATCTCCACAGACATGGAATCAAACAAAGCAAGGTTTTTTCCCCCCAAGGTGTGTTCTGCAGAACCCTAAGATTTGGTAAGAACTTGACGGCGTCCCACAGAATAATAAAAGCAATAAACAAACAAGCAAATAAAATACTTGGAATGGAGTCAGTTTTCTATCAGTAGAACTTTGCCCCTTGCTCAATCATCCTGGACTATTATTTGGCTTAGTTCTGCACCCTGAAAAGCTGGAAGGCCTCTGACACAGACCAGGTTACTGCTGACCCCCCCGGGGGGGAGGGAAGGAGGTGCCTCCATATTGAAAGATGACAACAGGAGTGACGTCTCCATCCATTTTCTGTAGTCCTGCCAGGAGTCTTCCCACAGTGCTGCAGGGATGAGGCAATCCCATTGAGGCAATTTCGGAGAGAGATGAAATGGGATGCCAGAGGGGGGGAAAACACTAAGGTTTAGATCAGGGGTAGGCAACCTTGGCTCTTTTATGACTCGTGGACTTCAACTCCCAGAATTCCTGAGCCAGCCATGCTGAGGGGAAAGGGAGAGGTGTCTAAGCTGAGCCATGCTGCCTCAGGAATTCTGGGAGTTGAAGTCCACGAGTCATAAAAGAGCCAAGGTTGCCTACCCCTGGGCTAGTCCAGTGTTTTTTGCAACCTGAGGTAAATTTTAAGAGGCATGGACTTCCAACATGCTGGCTAGGGGAATTCTGGGAGTTGAAGTCCACGAGTCATAAAAGAGCCAAGGTTGCCTACCCTGGGCTAGTCCAGTGTTTTTTGCAACCTGAGGTAAATTTTAAGAGGCATGGACTTCCAACATGCTGGCCAGGGGAATTCTGGGAGTTGAAGTCCACGAGTCATAAAAGAGCCAAGGTTGCCTACCCCTGCTGCTCACAGGCCATTCTTGTAACCTCCCTCTTTTCACTTTTGAGCAGTTGTCAGTATTGCTGTTTTTAGATATACAAGCATGATGGCTGGTGAGCAACGTGGTGGCTTAGTGGTGAAGATGCTCGCCTCCCAACCAGAAGGTTGAGAGTTCAATCCTAGCTAGCGACAGATGTTTCTCTCTCAGGGCACAAAGAAAAAATATCTTGCTTTGAACTCCTGTGTATGCATCAGGAAGGGCATCTGGCCGCTAAATGCTCAGGTCCATCCAGTCATATCCCAACCCCAATCCGAATTAAGGGATTATAGGGTCCTAAAAAGGGAGGTTTTTTTTAAGGGTGATGGCCAGTCTCTGTATTCTTGACATGCATCAATGAGAGGCTTTGGGGACATTTATACAGCCAATATCAAGTCAGGCCTCTGTGGTAGGGAGCATTCAATTTCCCACTGAACAGGGCGCCTGATCGACTTGATCAAGGGGTTAGACTAGAAGACCTCCAAGGTCTCTTCCAACTCTGTTATTCTATATGACGTAGAGCACAGATTTAACAAAGCTTTTTTTAATCAAGTTATCTGCACCAAATAAAGCTGAAAGCTCTCCCTATGCAAATGAAGAGGCTTTGGTGGGGGAGCATTTAATTCACACAATCCATTGTGTGGTTCTTTTTTCTCTCTTGAATATAAATTGATGAATCTTCATTTGTCCACCTAAGATGAAACCCAAGTTTCCAGAATGGGGTATGAACTATTGGCAAAAATCTGCTTTTAAATAAAACTTACTCTTTGAGCTTTTCGATCTCTTCGGGAGTATACCTGTTAAATATGTAAACAGCATATTTACTGAAGATGTAAATACACACTCATTATACAAGTTCATCTTGGTCCACTGTTTTCCGATTGTTGGAAATCATGATTTTAATTAGGATCACCAGGAAAGGAAGCTGTGTAATTTGCTCTTTATTCCTATACGACAGGGGTCTTCAACCTTGGCCCTTTTATGACTTGTGGACTTCAACTCCCAGAATTCCTCAGTCAGGCACGTTGGCTGAGGAATTCTGGGAGTTGAAGTCCACAAATCATAAAAGGGCCAAGGTTGAAGACCCCTCCCAGAATTCCTCAGCCAGGCATGCTGGCTGAGGAATTCTGGGAGTTGAAATCCACAAGTCATAAAAGGGCCAAGTTTGAAGACCCCTCCCAGAATTCCTCAGCCAGGCACGCTGGCTGAGGAATTCTGGGAGTTGAAGTCCGTAAGTCCTAAAAGGGCCATGTTTGAAGACCCCTCCCAGAATTCCTCAGCCAGGCACGCTGGCTGAGGAATTCTGGGAGTTGAAGTCCACAAGTCATAAAAGGGCCAAGTTTGAAGACCCCTGCTATATAGGATGAAACTAGCAATCAGTTCTTTACTACCTTACGGTCATCCAAGCCATAGTTTTCAGAATTTCAGAATATTACACATTGGTTTATTTTTAGAAGAACACAATCGTACTTAAAGTACATTTATTCATTGTTTATTTATTTGTAAAATTTATTACCTGCCCATCTTATCACGTGGTTCTCGGAGCTGCTTACAATATTAAAAGATAAAACTATATAAAACCTAATAATGCAAATACAATACTACAAAAAACACCCCCTCCTAGCTAAAAAGATGGGGAGAGAGGGAAGATGATGATAAGAGGACGGGATGGGACCTGTTATTAATCTGTCATCCGCCCCCAATGTGATACCCCTCCATTAGAGTCCCAAGCCAACTGGCAGATCCAAGTCTTTAAGCCTTTATGGAAAGTGAGAAGGGTTGGAGCTGACCTCCACATTAAGGACGATTCATCCATGTGGAGACACCACCAATGAACCTCGCCTCCACTTTGTCCGGATTGATGCTCAGGATATTTATCAGGAATGGGTAGAAGTTAAATTTGGATCTGCTCACAGATCTTCAGATGAACTTCAGTATTGGGAAAAGATCTCTGATTCCCAAATGTCTAGCCTTATCAGTAATATGATGAGGTGCTATGGAGGATGAAGGTCTCAGCTGGAGATTCACTTCACTTATGAACGTTGGGGATTTTGAATCACAGTTACAGAAAGCTTTTTGGGTTTTTTAGTAATTTTCTGGTCAACTCCTTCATCTGACATCATCACTGTCCAACATTTTACGGCTCTACTCTTCAAGCTAGACCCTTTTGACCTGACCATCAAGCTGGTTGCCAACTCAAAATCCTACCATTGAGGTCAAACCTAAGGAAGGTTCATACTTGCCAACGTGGTTTCGGTCATCGTACATGCGAAGGACTCGTCTATAAACAGCAAAGAGAGGCCGGTTCAAACCCCACGCAATGGTCCTGTAGAAATCTTTCCTTTCATCTTTTGACATCTCAAAAATGATCTCGGTGGCATCTTTGATTCCACGGGCCTGGTCACATTAAGAGTGGGATGACAATTTAAGTTTCCCATCACTTGACAGTGAGTCAAAACTGATTTTGTTTTTTCCACGACAGCCTTCCCAAAATAAGTAGGGCGATTCAAACTCTAATCCAGGGTTCTTCAAACTTGGTCCTTTTATGACTTGTGGACTTCAACTCCCAGAATTCCTCAGCTAGGCATGTTGGCTGAGGAATTCTGGGAGTTGAAGTCCACAAGTCATAAAAGGGCTAAGTTTGAAGACCCCTGCTCTAATCAGCCAAGTTCCAGTTTGTGATGGTAAATGGGAGAGGAAAACCATCACCTCTGGAAAAATAAGGCAGGATTTGATTTTGCAGGTTTAAGATGGCTGCTAAACAACCAGGAACTTATACTATTGCTTAGTTACGCAATATAACAACTATAACGTTTAATACAAGATTAAACCGAGAGGGCAGCAATATTTTTTTCTTTTTGAAAAATAACAACTAGAAACCAGGAAAAGGTGCAAAATTTATTTCACTTGAAATCAACATGGAAGAAATGACCTCCATTATTTCTAATGGGTTTTAAAATCAAAACAAGGATGTTCGAATCCGTAGTCTTCTTTTTTCGTTAACTACAAAATGAAATCGATTATAAATCAATCCAGCTAAAAACATTCTTTATAGCAGGGCTTTTCAACCAGTGGTACGGGTACCACCTGTGGTACATTGGCACCTGGCAGGTGGTACGTGACCATCCTAGAAAAGTGGTAGCAGGGGAGGGGAATGAGTTGAATCGGTGGCAGCACCACACAAGCCTGAGCGAGAGATGGCTGGAGCTGCAGGGCTGTCAGGGCTCAGCGGAAGTGCTAGGATCAGTGCCAGGCTCCAGCTGGAGCTCAGCGCTGATCCTGGCGCTTCTGCTGAGCCTTGAAGAAGCGCCGATCAGCTGGAATGTTGCAGCATCTCCAGGGCCTTGTGATTTACATTCAGATGCTTGGCAACTGATTCATATTTATGATGGTCACAGTGTCCCAGGGTCATGTGAAGTGACCAAAACCTGCTGCAACCACCCAGCAGACGTGGGGAATAAAACCAAACACCCCCCCACCCCACCTCCACTGCCAATCCTCAACAGAAATGCTCACAATGAAAACCTTGGACAGGAGGAAGAGCGCCAATGGGCGGGCAGGCAGGTGTCTTGCTCGGCTGTGGCTTGGGGGGCACTTTTTTCAGTGCCATTGTAACTTTGAACAGTCACTAAGCGAACTGTTGTAAGTCGAGGACTACTTGTACTTTATTACTTTTTTCCTTTTGGGGGGAGGTCATCAAGTTTTTGACACCTTGCTAGGCGACTGGTGGTACTCGGATGTTGCCATATCCTAAAAGTGGTACAATGGGTGAAAAGGTTGAAAAGCCCTGCTTTATAGCTCTCTCTATTTGGGAGACAGGCTGACAAACGAATCGGAATGAACGTCCTTCTCAGGTATTTTAAAGGAAAGGCTGACTCAGCGTCAGTCAGGGACAAGTTGAGGTCCAGGATGTCCCAATTTAAGATTCATTGGCTTCATGCCAACCACTGAGCCTTTGATTTAAGGCTATAAGAAGGACAGACAATCCCACTGTAAAATAAAGCACCATTCATTCTTTGGTTAAATGGGCAAGTAAATGGTCTGGCTGTTGCTTAACCAGATCTACTGCTATAAAAGCTCCGGCAAAACTTAGGTGAAGAACGTGGTCTTATAAAGGTTAAATGTAAAGGTAATTAAGATATATACAAGCTAAAAATTTATCGATGAATGTAATAAATGTTTTTAACCTAGCGGTAATAATAAAAATTACTAGCTTAAATATGAGATAGTAGATATTAAGAGAAAAAGAGAGGGAGTGTTAAATGTTGAAATAAGAGAAATTTTAGTTACTATATTTGGAAATTACCAGGAAATAAGAATATTATATTGTATTATTAATTAGTTGATGTAAGATGGTGAAAATTCCAATAGATAAGACGTGTATCCTGAACATTAGATCTTGTCATGAATTGTAATAAAGGAAATTGGGATTATTTAAAACTTGGAAATTATAAATATTAAACGTTAAATTTAAATATTAATGGGAAACTAAAAATTGGGAAAAACTAACCAGGACATTGATTGTCTAAAAAGATTTAATGTTAAAACAACTAGGATATGTATAAACTTAAAATTATTGATACAAGTAAGAAAGTTATTTTTATTTAATCGATATAGTAAGAATTGTATTAATTTAAATATGAGACAGTAAATACCAAGGGGAAAAGAGAGGAAATATTTAATGTAATAGTTTGAGATCTGTACTAAAGATATTTGTATGTTATTGAATTATTGACCAACTCAGCTGCCATGTTGCTTTTCAAATATTTAAATGTAAAACTAGAAAACCAATAAAATTTTCTTAAAAAAGAAGAGCATGGTCTCTTTACGTACGCAGCTAAAGGGACTCATCTTTACAACAAAGATGGAAAAACTGTATGGAATCCCACTGATGAAAACTCTGAAACCCAACAGACAGAAGAGACCAACGTCTGAAACTAGGACGCATATTGAGAGCAACACAAACCTTCAAATAACGCTCAATGTTGCTCATCAAAATCTGAATTTCTTCCTTCGACCACATGCCCTGTTTCCACTTATGACCTTAAAAATGGAGAAGAAGCCGTCACACAAAGACATCCTACTAGTAGTTCAACTTATAGGGAACAATTGGCACAGAGAAACAGAGACGATTTATTTAGATCCACTTCTAATCAAGCAGATAAATTTTACTCGTTTGTGGCCACCACAGCATTATTTTTTAGTACAAGCTGACAGAGAATGGCAATTATTGGGTGGCTTAAAACTTAATAAATAAGAGATGATCATTAAATCATTAAATTTTTTCCAATGCTTTTCCAAGTGAGCAAAGTGGTTTTAAATCTAGGCACCCAATTCAACATGCACTTATCTGTTATATTTTCATACGCACAACAAATTTAACCGTATATGTACACAAAGGTTGACGTTTAGCCCTGATAATGAATGCCTCAAAATGGAAATGAAGAGTTTCTATTATTTCTAGACAAGAAATATATATATATATATATATGAATGCTTTTTGAACACCCTGTCGGCCCAAATATGCAGACAGCCCAGGTTCGAATCTCAGAAGGGTATGTCTGGCTGATGAAAACTAAATAAAGTTTGAAATAGCTATCCCAGTACTCCCTTAATTCTTTGTTAGCAATCCAAATTTTGAATATATATATATATATATATATATATATATATATATATATATATATATATATATATATATATATATATATATATATATATATATATATATATATATATATACACACACACACACACACACACACACACACACACACACACACACACATATATATATATATATGCCAGAATGGCAGGGGATCCAATAAAGTACAAGTTATAATAATTTAGCCATAGGCTAAGTAAATAATAAGTATAAATATTCATTAGTTCTCATTGCAAAAAAGCTAGCATATTGCCCACAAGTTATTTTAATAAAACAGATTAATTTCTCTCAAAATAAGGTCATACTTGTCTGTCATGCACCGAATATTCACAGGTATTCCTCCTGTGGAAGACACAGAGATGTCTTCCCCAAATCAGAAAATGTAAACTTGCCTTTGTTTGTTAAACAATCCTTGTCTTCTTTGGTTGTAAACCAGGCCTGGCTGACTGCAGACACTTCTTCATTGGCTAGAGAAGAGATTTCATCCAGTTGCTCATTCTGAAGGATCTGGGAGAGGTAAACAGGAGAGGAGATCCTCAACTTAAAGACCATTTTAAGAGGTGTGGACTTCAACTCTCAGAATAAACCCATTATTCCGAGGGCAACCGTTTTATATTTTCAAATCCCACGCAGCCGTGCCCCAAGAGTGCATGGGACACCACAAGAACGGCATCATACCTGAATCTGAGTCACCGTTCCTTCGTTAACCTCATGGTCAGCTACTTCTGTAGTAGCAGTCATGGTCACCTCAAAGCTCGGATCACTTTCTGAAACTGGAAAGCACATAAAGGGTTAAGCTTGTGTAGGACTATTATCTTTTTTGTAAATATCCTTCTCACATATGCACAGTAGCTACCAGGCTCAATGAATATGTTTCAGTCAGCTATGTCTGCTTGCTATTTCTGTTTTGCTATCTGTTTTCTTGAGGTAATTCAGGGCCAGTTTGGTCTAGTGCAGGGGTAGGCAACCTTGGCTCTTTTATGACTCATGGACTTCAACTCCCAGAATTCCTGAGCCAGCCACGCTGAGGGGAAAGGGAGAGGTTTCCAAGCCGAGCCATGCTGGCTCAGGAATTCTGGGAGTTGAAGTCCACAAGTCATAAAAGAGCCAAGGTTGCCTACCCCTGGTCTAGTGGTAAAAGCACCTGGCTAGGAACCAGGAGGTGGTGAGTTCCAGTCCCGCCTTAGCCATGAAAGCCAGCTGGATGATCTTGGGCCAATCCCTCTCTCTCAGCCCAACTCACCTCACAGGGACTTTGTGGAGAAAATAGGAGAAGAAAGGTGTGTTGGATGTGTTTGCCCCCTTGAGTTGTTCTAAAAATAATAAAGGTGGTATATGAATGAATAAATGAATGAATGAATGAATGAACGAACAAATGAATTGTGGACTCAGTTCAACAACAAAACTAAAATTCTCTTGCTACACATTTCCACAAACCCTCCCGGTCCACATGTATGTTTTCACTGTAGCCGGTTACATCTGCAGATCCTTCAGGAGAACCACTTACGTGGAACCGCAACGACAGAGATGCATGGAGTGTTGCCGTCAACGCTCTGGTCATCTTCTGACGATAAGCAAAGCCTTTTATGGGGAGGTCCGATGCTGCCTTCGGAGTCTATTTCGTCTGCCTCTAAATACACATGCAGAGGAGAACGACAGCCATGAAAACTCAAAAGGGAATCACATCTGACATTATTTCATGCTGAACTGCCTACTGCTGATCATTCAAGGACACTCAACTGGAACTCCTAGGGCAGACATGTCAAACACAAGGCCCGGGGGCTGGATGCGGCCTGCGAAGTGGTTTCATGTGGCCCGCGAAGCCATCCTGGAAACAGTGAGGGAACGGCCCCCGCTGCCTTGGCCCTGGCCCAGGACGGCTGGGAGCCAATGTACAATTTTGTGGTGGCCATCTATGCTGAAATGCATTCAGTCTTAGCTCCATAAGGCCGTCTGGAAACAGCGAGGAACCAGCCCCTGCCGCGTCGGCCCCGCCCTCTGGGTGCATGCTGGGGAGGTATCACCCTTTGTGAGGAATGAAGAAATGCACCATCGCCTGGAAGTGGCCAGCAAATGGCCCTCGCCTACTTCACATATTCGGCTTGATGGGCTCTGGGGGAGGGGTTTCGGCAGGCAGCGGGGCGCTCTCCTCACAGCGCCGAGAGGCTGAGCCGGGCGGCACAAATCCAAAAAGAAATGCGAGCCTGCCCGCTTTCAGCAGGCAGCGGGGCGCTCTCCTCACAGCGCCAAGAGCTGAGCTGGGTGGCACGAATCTGATGGGAAGTGCAATGCTGCCTAGCCTCCAGCCTGCCCAGTTTCAGCAGGCAGCAATGTGCAAAGTTGGCGAGCTTCGCACCGCCCGGCTCAACTTCTCGGCGCTGTGAGGAGAGCGCCCCGCTGCCTGCTGAAACCACGCCCACCCAGTAGGCCACACCCACTCCATCCATGCCCACCCAGTAGGTCACACCCCCCCGGCCCCCCGAGGGCAACCGCAATGCTGATGCGGCCCTCAATGAAATTGAGTTTGACACCCCTGTCCTAGGGAGAAATGTAGTTATCGAAAGATGCCAGTTTTAAGTTCCTGAAAAATATTCACATTTTAGCTGTTGGTCCGGGCTGCGCAATCCATTTTTTTTCTTTTTATGACCCTTTAATCTCTTTGTTTCGGGGTGGAGTTGGGACAACTGGATGGAGCTGAGCGTTTACTGGCCGGATGCCCTTCCTGAGGCCTACATGGAGTTCATAGCAGATATTTTCTCTTTGCACCCTGATAGAGAAACATCTGCCGCTGTCTAGTCTCACTCTCAACTTTCTGAGTGTGAGACGAGCATCTTCGCCTCTAGGCTCCTCATGGGGTGCACAATTCATGGCCTTCTTGAAATCCGAGACCCCTTTTTCAATCCCCAGAGATCAGCAACTAACATTTACTGGTGTGATTCTTCCCTTACACGAAAAAAATAAATTAAAAAAAATGCCTGAAAACAATACTTTGCCCACGATATCCTTAAAATAAGTTTGCTTTAATCCAATTTTCATACACATTAAAGTCTAATGGTTTAAGAGTCGTTAGTCTGCCGTAATCAAACCGATAAGGAACCATTTGTCATCGGTTTGCATAATTCCAACAGGAAGTCGTCCAACCTATTGCTCAATTGTTGGTGCAATTAATCACAATTGTGGGTAACTGATCTGGTCTAGTGCTCCCACATCCAATTCCAGGCTCAAGCCATTTGAATTTAAGGAGTAAAATGGTTCAAAATTCCTAAAGACCCCCCAAAATTGTTTTGAGAGGTAAATGTCCAGACTGGGTCAGGGTTTTGCATCATCCTCATGCTTCAGCAATGGCTGAATGGGTGAGATGACTCAGTGGTTAAAGATGCTGAGCTTGTCAGATGGAGAGCTGACAGACTGGGTTCAAGACCCGAGCGTGCACGATAGGGTAAGCTCCTGTCCTTGCTCCCAGCTCCTGCTCACCTAGCAGTTTGAAAGCATGCAAATGCGAGTAGATAAACAGGTACCACTTCGGTGGGAAGGTAACAGTATTCCGGGCGCTTCTGGCGTATAGCCATGTTGGCCATATAACCAGGGAAATTGTCTTTGGTCAAGAAACAGAGATGAGCACAGTGTCCTAGAGTCGGACATGACTGGACAGAGGGAAACCTTTACCTTTTACTCTATGCTTCAGCAGTGTGATCACGGTCTACTTTGAGGGGTGGGATTCCGTAAGTGAAGTGGGTGTCTTAATGAAATGTAAGTCCTAAATCAGGGGTAGGCAACCTTGGCTCTTTTATGACTCGTGGACTTCAACTCCCAGAATTCCTGAGCCAGCCATGCTGAGGGGAAAGGGAGAGGTTTCCAAGCTGAGCCATGCTGGCTCAGGAATTCTGGGAGTTGAAGTCCACGAGTCATGAAGGGGCCAAAGCTTCCCCCATGCTGGCTCAGGAATTCTGGGAGTTGAAGTCCACCAGTCATAAAAAGAGCCGAGGTTGCCTACCCCTGTCCTAAACCATTCACTGCAGAGCCTTGATTTTTTTTTTAAAGGACATTCCTGAAATTCCTCTAGGAAACTAAAACCCCAGTGAAAATGTGACACTAAAAACCTATCTCTCCCAGATTTTATTACAAAATTATGCCACCCACCCTACCCAGCTGTGCCACCGAGCCCCATATCTTGGTCTGAGGAGTGATTATAATTTGAAATAATATGGAGAAAGCATACAGTGAAATAACAGGTGTTCTATACCATCCTGAGGGCAGTGAAGAATAAGGTTGCCTTGTGTGTCTTGTGTCAGAGTTACAGAATTCACGGTTTCTACTGTCACTGTGTCAGATTCTTCTTCAACTGTGGTCATAATCAAATCTACAAGAGAATAAGCACCGATTAGCCACAAGGTCATTATTTATTGATAAAAGGGAATATTTGTAACTCAAGAGTTGAAACAAGGAGTCCTTGTGGTGCTCTCTTGCAGACGTTTCATGACCCACCATAGGTAACATCATCGGAGGTAATCTTCTAGCACTAATGATGTTGCCTGGTTTGGGTCAGGAAACGAAATAAGCAAGCTCAGAGAGCACCACGAACCGGGCCATTTATTTACTTGGGAACTACAACCTCTTTATTTAGCTCAGAATCAAATGCAGAGTAAGTAAAACAGCCATGCTATAGACCTAGACAGAAGACATCTGCTCCTCGTTAAGGGTGGCCTTTAATTTCTCGTACCTTCTCATTCGTAACTTCAAAAACAGTTATCCTAAGATCAAATAAGAGCTGGCTACTCCCTTGAGAGGGGGGATTACCAAGAAGAAACTCAACATTCTTCAAGGAACAGAAAGTTTGAGGGACAGACTCATGGAGCCTGTAAGTGCAAGGGTTAGTTAGGATTTTGAAGAGTGTCTGGTCCACCTCCTCGCAGGCATCCACGAGAGAGAGGGCTATCCCGTCTCTGTTCAAGCATCTCCAGGGAAGGAAAGTTCACTGGTTCCCGAGAAAGTCTGTTCCACTGTTGACCATCTCTTACCACCAAGAAAGTTTTCCTGATGTCCAACTGAAATTTGTTTTCTTGTGATTTTAAGTCATCGCTTCTTGCCTTGCCTTCTCTTCTACATTCAGACGCCAAAAAATGGCTCCTGGGTTTCCCCCCATCTTATAACTTTGATTTTTATTACTCAGATCAAAGATTTTTGTGTTTCATTCTGCTGAGATTCATGCTGTGGATTGCTGCCCTTTGTTTTGCCAAGCTGAGGTCCTCAGGAATCTTGATAAGTGCGGTCTAAGGTCTTTTGCTATCCTCCCTGTATGTCAGCCCTGCGAGGTGGTCCAGACGAGAAGCCCATTTATGAGCACAGTTCTAGCTTTATTGTAAGGTTACATGAACAGAATCTCGCAAGACTGAAAGTATCTTTCTCCTCCTTTCCTTTTAATAATAATCTATATCTATATAAATAAAAATGTAAACGTTCGTTTGTTCAAAATCTTAAATCTCCGAAAGTTCTTCACCCATTGCTTTGAAAATTTGACACAATGTTGCATTCGAATACGCGCGTTTTTATATACCTACTATTATATAGATGTCACACCTGTGACAGGTAAAAACATGCTTTTTTTGAAAAACAGCGTCATCTGTTGGACGTAAAAGCAAACCAGACAATCTCTATATCTGCACAGACAGTGGAACAACAAAAAATATTGTATACCCACAAGCATTGTGAAATTAAACATATTACAAACGTGCGCTTTCTCTTTTCTTTCTTTTCCATTTAACCAGACTGACGCGTGGCCGGGTACAGCTAGTAAGTCATAAAGTTGGAAGGGAGCTTGGAGGTCATCTAGTCCAACCCCTTGCTCAGGCAGGAACCCTTCTCTGGAAAACTAGGGAGGACCCCTTCTGACAAGCTGCCCATGCCTCTTCTCCTTCAGTGACCTGAGAAACCGTTTAAATGCTGGTTAACCAGACTATGACTCTCCCTTCTGTCTTCCAAGTTCATTCCCATATACCATTACATTGTCTTTGGGATATCTGCAAATTTGTTGGGTTGTTGACGTGGCTAAGTGTGGATGAATGTGTGCGCGTGCAACTGAGAAACAGCGAAGGTGAACTGTAGCCAGTAGAATTTCACTGTTGCCTTAAATTCACTGGGTCACTGTGTATTCCAAAGAACCTGTTGTGCCTCATTGTTCAGCTGAAAGTGACTTTTGGGTGTCCCTTCCTTCCTAGCTATTGACCTGTGCTGTGTCTTGTCTATGTTAGCCACCCCTATCTGGAACACCCAGGTAGACAGCAAGGGAGGCTTACAAGATCCATGTGCCTCAACAGGCAGTGCACGTGTGAATGTGTGACCCTAAGCTGAACTGCGAAGTGCCTGTTAACACACACAGAATATTTAGCCCTTTCGTGAAATGCAGAAACCTCATGGATGCAAATAATGCACGCATTCTCAAAATCCTCATGGGAGGGACAGGACAGGCTGCTGGTTGATGCCTTGCTCAGCAGTTTTAACAGAAATAAAAGCAAGCCAGCAAGTGAATAATCTAACAGGGGTGAAACCAGCAACACTACCAACAGCCTGAGTGTGTCTTCTTAAAGAACAGAACTACATGTGATCCTGGCACCACGTCGGAAAGAAGATATGTGGCACAGGAAAAAAGCGCCTCCATGCCGTGATGCTGAACACCACAATGCTGAGTCATGCTGCGTGACAATGGCTGCTGAGTTGTTGCCCCCGTGAGGACGATGGCCAAAAACTCATGATAGATTGAGAGTGACCCCCGCTCTTTGGGTCATGCTGTCCACCTCTGCATTTTCTTGGACTAGAAGACCTCCAAGGTCCCTTCCAACTCCGTTATTCTGTCATTCTTCTGTCGTTTGTATGGTGTGAAACTACCGATGGGTAGAAAACATCTGGCTGCTGCTAAGTCAAAATGTGCAAATTGGGGCCATCACGGAAAGTTTCGATCTGCAAATGTTTTGACCTTGAAATTCGATGCCCAAAATATTACGGAAGTAGCTGAATCCTGAAACTGATCTCAGAAAAGGTTTAAATTTCCAAATTTGACCCCTTCTGGACCACTGCGATGTGATTAGAACATTTGCCAACAGGATAGTTTCCACCTCCATGGATTATAATGGTAAATTATACCATTTACCATTAATTACCGCCGCATGTCGACTCGTGATCCTTTGCCTAATCCCAGAGGGCATTTTTGCTCCAAGGTTAGACCTGTTGCTATTTTAATGGGAGCCTGCAAACAAGGCTAGTTTTGGTTTGCAAGCTGAAGTATTTGTCTTGCAAGGATCATTGACTGAGGCAGAATACAGGTAGTCCTCAATTTACAACCCCAATTAAGCTCAAAATTTATGTTGCTAAGCGAGGCATTTGTGTTAAAGGAGTTTTGCCCCCTATTACCACCTTTCTTGCCAGTTATGTGAATCACTGCAGTTGTTAAGTTAATAACTCAGTTGTTAAGTGAATCTGGCTTCCCCCATGGACTTTGTTGCAAAAGGGGAACCACACGACATAAATACAAGTCAGTTGCCCAGCGTCCGAACTTTGATCACGTGACCACAGGGATGCTGCAACGGTCTTGTGAGCAATAGTTGCCACTATTTTCAGTGCAGTTGTAAATTTGAACGGTCACTAAATGAACTGTTGTAAGTCGAGGACTATCTATATATCATTCCTACAATATCCATAGTGTTCTGATAATGGGATTTTTTTTTTTGTCCTTCATTGCTTGTTAACTCCCCCATTGCCTATAAGTCATTTTCAGCAAGTTGGTCTTTAACTGTAATGTTCATTTCAACAACGTATTTAAATGTAACAGAAGATTAAAAAAAATAAATTAATGGTCCTCTCCATAAATCTGTCTTCGGAGCCTACCAAGTTGCCACAGCTGATGGCATATTTGAAATTCGACATGAAGCAATGTTTTGAGGAGCAAAGTTGATCTATCTGAGGACTGAAATGTATTTTGAAATGGTACTATGTATTCTGTGCAGGTGTAAAACTAAAGAACAGTTTTGAAAACACAGCGGAACAACATAGACATTTTGAAATATATCTTTTATTTGTCAAAGCATTAAAGTAAGTTGCATACTTTATCTAAACGCGCCAACTGAAAAGATGGAAGCAATTTATTTCAGAGTATCAGTGGTAAAATATCCATGTAGGTATTTTTCAAATTCAGGAGAGGATCTGTTCTATGTTAAAATACCACTGATATAGGTCAGAGGGAGGGAGGGAGGGAGGAAGGAAGATTTATGTGGGCAGAATATGAGAGCATTCATTTGCTGTACTGTAGATATAGTTTGTAAAACTACCACTTAGTGGTGACTGAGCAGATTTAGGAATCAAAATCGTTTAATTTAGCAAAGTAGGGTATGAAAACAGCACTGGCCCTTTTTGGTGCTGAGGTTGTTATTAAGGAATATCATTAGGCACTCCTTCACAGAAGGAGCAGAAAAAAAACAGAAGCTGAACCGGTAATGGGAAAGACAAGATGGAAAAATATGTTGGTATTATGGAAGGGGAGAAGATCACAGGAGTTAGGTATTGTAGCGTTATATGCGACAAGAGACGGCAACTTTTCATGTGTAGGGGTGCAGTATAAGAGGAAGAGCGAAATCGAATTCATCTTTTCAAAACTGTGACAGTCCCACGTATTCCCTCTTAGCCTGGGAACTGAATCGGTTCAATTTTTTGGTTCACACCAAACACCGAATCGCCAATTAACCAAGCTAAGCACCCCTCCTTGCAAAGTTAACTCTATGCTAGCCTAACTAGTCTAGTTGCTGTGTGAAAGCAACCACAGGCAGCTTCTTAAATTAGCACAGCAGATTGTGTGAAAATTATATTGCATCTTATTCCTCTACATCCCCCCCATCAGTCTCATTACTCTGCCCTCTTCTGCCCTCTCATAGCTTATTCTGGCCTTCCCCCCCCCCCCCAAAATGCATCAAGGGAATGAGACAGAAGGTATTTCACAAATAAAGAAGCAACAGAACCAGGAGAGGCAGGAATGGGATAGAGGGACAATGGGACAAGAAGGAAAAAAAAGAAGAAAAAGAAGCAAGTTATCATAGTTACGATGTACAAAAGACAAAGGCATTTCCTATAAAAATATGTTGCTCCACATTATATTATATACACGAGACACATATGGCCTACAAGAAAGTGTGTGTGTTGTGTATCCACCTAACTATATTATATAAACACTCTTAGATACAATTTCTGAAGATCTATATGGAATACACATAGGGCAGACAAACAAACAGACATCTTTACCTATTAATAGAATACCTTGGCAACGTATTTTTATATATATATATACAAATGCAGCAAAGGTCAGACCCCCCATAGGCAATTTATTGCGTAGAATATATTAAATGTTCCAATTGGTGTCCATTTTCTTTTAAAAAAAAACTTTCTTACTCATTTGATGCATGAACCTCTGAATACTCCTAAGTACAATACTGTATGTATGTGTATGTATGCATGCATGTATGTATGCATGCATGTATGTATATAATATCCACATATGATATTCCATTTTCTCGTCTGACGGGGATCCTATTTTATTGCATAGGATATTCTATTCTATATCGCAGCGGGACAGAGGCGAGATCCGTCTCTGGGCGGCCTAAAGCCCCCACCCCCCAAAAAAAGTCCCCCCAAAAGGGGAAGCAGCCGGGGTGGGGGAGGGGGGAGGAGCGAAGAGGGCGGGGCGGGGGCGGGTCCCTCTTCCTCCCCTCCCTCCTCCGCCCCGCCCCCTCCCGCGTTCGAAGGAGCCCCCCGGGGCGACCTTCTCCCCCCCCGTCCCTCCCTCCGACCCGGCTTCCCCTTCCCCCGGTGGCTGCGGAGGACGGGGCCGGGCCGGGGCCTCTCCTGCCCCTCCTCTCCGGCTCCAGGGCCGGTAGCTCCGCGCAGGCCGGTCCGCGGCACTTACTTCCTGTTTTGGGTCCGGGCACTTGAGAAACCAGGATGGAGGCTCCGAAATGCCAGGATGGAGGAAATGCCCGCCGAGCGCCTCAGCCGCAGCAGCAGCAGCAGCGGCGGCAGCACAGCGGAAGGGGCGGTGCCGGGGGAGGGAGCAGCGAGAGGAGCGGGCAGAGCGGAGCGGAAGCGCCGACGCGGGGAGCTTCCACCGCCCGACCGCCGCTTCATCTCTCTCTCTCTCTCTCTTTTCGTCTGCTCTGCCTGGCGGTTTCATCCTTTCCTTTTGAAATCTCTTTCTTTCTTTCTTTCTTTCTTTCTTTCTTTCTTTCTTTCTTTCTTTCTTTCTTTCTTTCTTTCTTTCTTTCTTTCTTTCTTTCTCTCTTTCTCTCTCTCTCTCTCCCTCTCCCTCTCCCTCTCTCCCTCCCTCCCTCTTTCTTTCTTTCTTTCTTTCTTTCTTTCTTTCTTTCTTTCTTTCTTTCTTTCTCTCTTTCTCTCTCTCTCTCTCCCTCTCCCTCTCCCTCTCTCCCTCCCTCCCTCCCTCCCTCCCTCCCTCCCTCTTTCTTTCTTTCTTTCTTTCTTTCTTCTCTAGTCTGTGCTTGGATGGGAGACCACAAGGATATCCTAGTAATGTAGTAAAATGAACAATTATTAGGATAATGATTTGTCTGCATAACTGCAATAATGATGTGTCTGCATAATTCCTAGAATAATGAGATAATGCATAATCACTGGGAAAATTCACTGGGAAAGTTGAAGAAGATGACCTAAAGAATGTTGGTTGGATCCTTCCTTCCTTCCATCCATCCATCCTCTAATCTGTGCTTGGATGGGAGACCATGAGAAGATCCCAGGGATGGAGGTTCCAGGAGGAAAAGTTGGGGGGAAAAATCCTGCAAGAAGGCAGTGGAGAATGTCTTCTGTATATAGACACCTATGCCTGGACACTTTATCCTAACTAAATTTGCAGATGGGTGAACATATGGCCTCTGCAGATGACATACGCTAAATAAATAATAAAAAAGGTATGCCTGGAATCTCCAGGAGGCGGGCTTGGCTTGAAGGAGAGGGCATTGCTGTCCCCCAAATTCAGGTCTGGCGCCAAAGCCGATGAAGAACAGCAGACACAAGCTGCAGGACTGAGTTCCTTTTATTGAAGCGCTTCAGCAAAAGGGGTCCCAACCAGCAAAATGCCAGGACCCAGAACAAGGATTCAATAAGCTTTTATACAGTTTTTTTCAAGGCGGGATAAAGAAACATTGTCTAATAGGCTTTTTGAAACTTATCTAAAGGGTCCTCTATTAGCTCCACACCATCCCTATTTCTAAGTCTTAACTAATAAACACTTCAAAAGTTATCTAACACATATTTTATTGGCTCTACTTCAAGCCTATTCCTAAAAGTTAACTAATAGGCATCCTAGAAGACTTTTAGCAAGTCTTCTATTGGCTCTGTCTTAGCCCAATAACTTATCTTAGCAATATGTCTTGTATGATATGCTTATTTTCTACATTGAAAGGGGCCCCTAGTTCACCCTGTTTGCTGTTCATACTCTGCATTTGTGTATAGACATTTGAGTCCTTTATGACTGACCCTGTGTTTACTTCCTACATAACCTGTGTGGTGCCTGAGTTCCCCTAATGTCTTACCACCCATTTGGTTAGTGCACTTTGTGTGGCACTCGCTATTAAGAGCTTGATTTTGCTTGACAGCAAGGTTGACGTTCTTGTCCACACACACATCTATGTTACATGCACTGATAGCCCTATAATTTTTAGATTGCCGGGGACAGGGATGTTCTGTATCAGTTAGCTCACTGTCCCCGCTGTTTAGTTTAAATATTCCTCCAGAAAATCTGTGAATTTATAGCCAAGTAACTCAGTCCCTTTCTTTGATGGATGCAAACCATCTCTTTTATACATTTTTTCATTGGACCAGCTGCTGACATCGTGACTAATATATACAAAGCCTTCCCCTTTACTCCACTCCTTTAGCCACATATTGAATTGTGCTATACGCTGGCCTTTTCCATTTTGGTACTTATGCAGGCTTCCCAAATATAATCTACTCCCTGCCTTCTGAGTTCATGCCATAACCTTGCATTTTTATAGCAAATGGCCCTAGAGCAAATGGCCCATCAGCACTGCTTGGTAAGCAGCCTTTGGGAGCATGTATTTATTAAATTTATTTAATTTAATTATAAATGTATGTAGCAGCCCATCCCATTACTGAGACTCCATAGTAGGAGACTCCTCAGCGGGAGGATAAGCTGCTCTGGTTTTGAGAAGAGTTGTGTCACTTTCAGATTTTTTTTGTTCTTAAATTGGCTTAATTTTTGAAACCAGACAGAGCATCTTATTAGACAGACTCAAAACCAATTTTAAACTCGCTCAAAATGGAGATGCCAATGTATTGTGAGAAAGTATAAATTTAGATTCCAGAGGCTGGGATAGTATAAATCTATGCATTCTACCCTGAAGTAAGCCTGTTACATTAAATCATCTTGTTCCCAATTAAGTAAGAATGCAACTTTAATAAACTGCAAAGAGTAGACCGATGTGCCACGTGTTTTTCAAATAATTTTATTAAGGACTAGCTGTACCTGGCCACGCGTTGCTGCAGCTCAGTCTGGTTAAATGGAAAAGAAAGAAAAGAGAAAGCCCACGTTTCTAATATGTTTAATTTCACGATGCTTGTGGGTATACAATATTTGTTGTTGTTCCATTGTCTGTGCATCAATTCCAACGCAATGTCACACGAAATAATTAAATCAAAATGAAAATAAATTGAAATCTATGAAAATTCAATTTAACAATGCAATCGGAAACATTGAAATGGAATCGTAAAATTGGAAATTTGGAAATCATAAATGGATTGTAAATCGGAAACATTGAAATGGAATGGTAAAATCGTAGCGTGTGTTGCTTTTACGTCCAACAGATGGCGCTGTTTTTCAAAAAAGCATGTTTTTACCTGTCACAGGTGTGACATCTATATAATATAGGTATATAAAAACACGTGCGTATTCAAATGCAACGTTGTGTCAAGATTTCAAAGCAATCGGTGAAGAACTTTCGGAGATTTAAGATTTTGAACAAACAAACATTTACATTTTTATTTATATAGATTATCAACAACAAAAAATGCAAACGGGAAAATACAAAAAAGAAAAGGAAAGGAAAAAAGTGTGGGTATGAAATACAATAAAGAAAAAGGGAAGGAAACTAAAAAGTTTGACACCCCTGCTCTAGTCCAACCCCCTGCTCAAATAGGAGACCCTATATTATTTCAGACAAGGCTTTTTTTTTTTTTTTTGCAAGCTTCCAGTGATGGAGCACCCCAATTTCTGAAGGAAAGCTGGTTATAAATGCTACCTAATTTTTTTTAAAAAAATATTCTTTAACCTCTTCAAAAAGAAAAAAAACCCCTCACTTTTCTTTTCTTGTTCCAGCATCCAGTGGTGACTCTCCTTGCAAAAGTGGCCTTGTTAGCCTGCGAAAGCCAGGAAGTATCCAGACGTGCCATATATTTTCTGTGAATAATTCTCTGTGGCTACTCAATCTTTTTACTATGATTTTCCCCATAGACATTTACTAGGATTACGTTCTCTACTGCCTGGTGACCACCAGATGGCGCTCTTCACCTTTTGGCTTTTCAGCTGGGTAATTTCCTAAGAGATCCAACCTAGAACTAAGAAGAAATTTACTGACAGCCAGAAAAATGAATCAGTGGAATGGCTTCCCTCCAGAGTTGTAGGTGCTCCAACAAATGGATAGCCATTTGTCTGGAATAGTACAAGGTCTCCTGCTTGTGCAGCTGGTTGAACTAGAACAGGGCTTTTCAACTTTTTCACCCATTGTACCACTTTTAGGATATGGCAGCATCCGAGTACCACCAGTCGCCTAGCAAGGTGTCAAAACACTTGATGACCCAAAAAAAAAGAAGAAAAAAAGTGATAAAGTACAGGTAGTCCTCGACTTACAACAGTTCACTTAGTGACTGTTCGAAGTTACAATGGCACTGAAAAAAGCCACAGCCGAGCAAGACACCTGCCTGCCTGCCCGCCCGCCCGGCGCACTCTTCCTCCTGTCCGAGGTTTTCATTGTTGTGAGCATTTCTGTTGAGGATTGGCAGTGGGGGTGGGGTGGGGGGGTGTTTGGTTTTTATTTCCCCCCGTCTGCTGGGTGGTTGCAGCAGGTTTTGGTCACTTCACATGACCCTGGGACACTGTGACCGTCATAAATATGAATCAGTTGCCAAGCATCTGAATGTAAATCACAAGACCCTGGAGATGCTGCAACATTCCAGCTGATCGGCACTTCTTCTGGGCTCAGCAGAAGTGCCAGGATCGGTGCTGCTTTCCAGATGATTGGTGCTTCTTCAGGGCTCAGCAGAAGCACCAGGATCAGCGCCGAGCTCCAGTTGGAGCCTGGTGCTGATCCTGGCGCTTCCGCTGAGCCCCGACAGCCCCGAAGAAGCGCTGATCCTGGCACTTCCGCTGAGCCCTGACAGCCCTGCAGCTCCAGCCATCTCTCGCTCAGGCTTGTGTGGTGTTGCGCAGGTTCAGCTCACTCCCCTCCCCCGCTACCACTTTTCTAGGATGGTCAGGTACCACCTGCCAGGTACCAATGTGCCACAGGTGATACCCGTACCACTGTTTGAAAAGCCCTGGACTAGAAGACCGCCAAGGTTTCTTTCAACTCTGTTATTCTGTTATTTTCACCTGTAAATGACTCTTCCCTGTCAAGAGGGGTGTGTGTGTGTCTCTTTTGGTCTATCTGTCACTACTTTCTCTTAAAAGTCTGGATGTGCTTGTGGATTCCAAAGACTGGGGGCTTTGGAATTGTGTTTTGTGAAAACACAGCCACTTGTGGCTGGTTCAGCAACCTGAAGTAAATCTCACGTATGGTTTCACTGCAAAAGCAAACGAACAACAACAACCACAACAACAACAAAAAAGCCTCCTGATGCTCAAAAGAGCAATTGAAAAATCTTGGAAAGGATGCTAGGATGGCATCTGAAAACAGATTTGTAAGCCGGCGCAAGCAGCACGCAGGAAATAAATGCAGGTCAAGTGGAAGCTGAAAACCT